AGACGATTACCCTGAAGTTGGAGTCCGCCACCGCCTTAGTCAAAAAGATGAGAAGCATGGGATATCTCGATATTACAAAATATCTCCGCGGATCCAAGCACTTCACAAGGAGCACCACACTTTACCCCGCTCAATACCTCGCCGCCACCCGCGCAGCTAACATCCTCATCTCCAAACTCCTTAACTACCTCTCAATCACGCTATCGCCCCTCGAGAACCAAACCCGCACTCTCACCGTCGCGGATCTAGTGAAAGAGATGACGGAAGATATGCGTCTGGACATCTTCTGGTGGGTATCGGAATGGTGTTTCCGCAACCAGGTCGAAAGAAGCGATAATGTTGTGGAGAGAGCATGGAAATTGAAAGGGTGCTTTGGCTTGGCGAGAAGGACTTGGATTAAGGGAACGATGAGCAGAGGAGTTGAGGTGCTATTTGAAAGGATGGAAGGGATTGTGGAGATGGTAGTTGCGGTGCTGTTGTGGTGGGATAAGGAGATGAGGACGGAGAGAATGAAGAAGGCCTGGTGGGAGTTTGAGAGCTGTGGGAGTGAGGAAAGCAGCGAGAGTGGAGAGAGCAGCGACAGTGAGGAGAGCTGTGATTTTACCTGGAGTTAGTGTACTTGATGTCTCGTACGCCGGATCAGTACCGTCACAAGCAATCAAAGAGTGAAAGCTCCCGTGTGCATCCACCACCATCAATCCGTGGTCGAGCAAACCCGAACACAGCGCTCAATGCACACTTCATATGCGCACAACGTCCCTTTTCAGACGACCAAAACTATCTCAACCAGAACCATTGTATTTCACTCCCTCTCCCGAGCAAACACCAATCAAGCATCCTTTCACCCGCAATCATGAAGTTCACAGAAACCGACTTCCTGTCCACATCCCCAACACCACCCCCACCTCCACGCTCCCACCTCCGCATCAAGATCCCCTCCTACAGCCTGCGCCTCCCCGTCGCCCCACCATCCCCCCTCTTCGACGGTATAAACCAAGACACAAACACCCACCGCTTCCCCGCCTTCCAAGACGTCCTCAACATCCGCAAGAGCGTGCCGCCACCAGAACCGCACTGTACACTCCACTGTAACCACGGAGTCTGTGTGAAGCAGATGGTAGAAGAGTTTGGTAGCACGCTATGTCAGTGTGTTTTAGAGGAGGAAGAGGAGTGGAGTGTGGAGTGGTATCGGCCTGCTATGGAGCTTGAGGAACTGGATTTGATGTCTATTGCTCAGAACACCGAGAAGTTTAGTCCGGCGCAGGAAATTGATATCTATATCGAAGACGCTATGAGGGTGGTCGCGTATCTGGAACCGCGCGCTTTGGCTCGTGCGATGGACGACGGGAGTCTAAGGCGCGCTATGCTGGCTGATTTTGGCCAGGATGAAGAAGTCACGACGCGCGATGCGGTTCATCGGTTCTTCTATTTGATGCGGGTATACTTCGATCGTACAGTCCATGCACCAGGTCACCGCGTCGTCACGATTGAGCAGCTGCGATGCGAGTTGGACGTGTATGTTTGGACGCTACTAGATGAGTGGGTCATGAAGCATTGCGACCGGGAGACGCGGCGTTTGTTGCTGAAGCATAACGGCCCGGAGTGCATTTTGGCAGCCACGTTTGGTGCTCCGGCGGAGGTGCTGGAGCTGTGGTATAAGTGTGTTGAAGATATTGTTGGGGTACTGATATGGCGGGATGAGGAGGTCAGGTGGCGGAGACTTGAAGGTGTGATTGGGTTTTGTGTTGTGTTGATCATGTTGTTCTTATTATTCAGTATTATGCTTTGGGGAAGTTTGGTGTCGCATGTCTGATGGCGGTAAGGCTGAGTCAAAGAGGAGAGTTCTTAGTATCAGCATTTAGTTATCAGGGCTCTACACCAAACCGCTCTTTGGAGGTCGATTCGATTGCGGCGTATCATCCCATTCATTTCAAATACATGAGCTCGTTTTTCCACGTACTCAGCATGGGGCAAATCGCTATCTGCATGTGCATATGCTGAAACGAGTAGGCCTTCATCAGCCCAATAAAATGCAAACACGCAGCAATCACCACAGCGATGTGGGAGATCTGGTGCGATGAGAGCCACAGGTCAAATTTGCCTTGCTTCCAACACTCTGGGAATTGCATCTGTCTTCTGTTAGTCCAGCTATCGTTGTGCGTTGCAAGGCACGACTACATACCATAAAAGGACCCACACTAGCCAGGCAGACGAAGCCGCAAGCCAACCCCCATCGTAAGCCTGCCATTTCGTCCATTCGTTCCCAACCATACAATTGAATACCCCTCCACAGCGGAAAAATACCAGCGGCGGCAAAAGCGACGAAAAGCGGAACTACAAGGGCCTGTGCCCAAGACTTGGAAGCCATAGGCGAAGCGAAGAAGAGTAGCATGATAGCGCCAAAAGCCGTGAACTATATTTCATGTCAGCAGCTTCCAACGCACGTCGTAGCACCACATCAACTTACAATAAACATATAGGTGCGCATGAGCTCTACCTCGCAGGTAAACGTGTAGTATAGCGTCGCAATCAAACTGCCCCAGATAAGACACGTGATGCCCGCAAAATCCAACTGCTTGCCAGCCGTCGCCACAGATTCTGAATGGTCGAGGACGATATAGTACGTGACGGAGAACGACATGCACAGTACCACACCGCCGAGGAATGCAGAAAATGCCAGTAAATCACCGTTGCGTGGGGAGGGGAACCACTGTTTTGGGCCGCCTAGTTGCGGTAGGTTGTAGGTGGTGAGAAGCAAAACAATGACTAAGAAGAGTAGGTGGGTGTAGATGTTTCCGGTCTCGTTATGGAGGTATGTGAGGCTTTTGATGGATTGGCGGTATGAATTGCGGGCGGAACGGTATTTGGTGACGATGTATTGGTTTTCTTGGCGCCATCCTGGTAATTGTCCGTAGTTGACGAGCGGATTCTCGATGGAAGGATCGTGCTTTTGCCCTACAGCGGTATTTTCTGGTCCTGATGACATCTTCTCGTTTTGATCGCGCATATTGTTCTTGGTGATAGTAATCTGGGCGATGTACTGCTGCAACTTCGAGCAGTCGTAGCTATAATAACTGATATGACCCACATCTTCTCGCAGATGACGTCTGCCACGATGCTGCTAAAACAGGTACAATAATTGGCGTCACCTTGGCTAAACGTTGACAACTTCTTGGAGTGTACTCCGGAGTACTCCCAATGGTAGCACTCTCGACTTGTAGTCGCATTTGAAGGCGAAGTAGCCGGCTGCTCGGCAGTCTTAGGTTTGCTTAGCTCAATGTTCGACTGGTAGACTACCATTAGGCCAAATCTGGGGATGCAGTTTGCTTGGCGCACGATTAGGCCTCTGGAAACCGTTGGGCGGGAATCCATAGCGTTGCCGCAATTCCGTCGTTCCAAGACTCTGGAAGTCTAGAACTTCATTCTCGGCGTATTGACTGATCTTTGGATGGAGGAATGTGTGCTTGCTGGAGCCCGAAACCGACTTTCATCTGGTTGAGTTGTGAGGATACGTCTCCATATGATGTTGCAACGCCACCAAGTGCAAAGGTATCAGTGCCTTGCCGGGTTTGTATTGCTAGACTATGTCGAGTAAGTGTGACCCCAGAGCTTTGATCTGTTCGCTTTCGCGTTGCTCAATCGTCTGCCCCGCTGCATTTCGAATGTCAGAAACATTGGCTAAATGCCAGGTAGTGTTATTGGAAGTGACTAGATACCAGATCCTGGACGATACGAGGCGCAGAAACAATATTCGTATTATCTCGGTGACTACAGATTAGAATGTGCCACGACGGAGAGTCGCAAGTCCATCCAGACGCCGCCGACTCCGATCTTGACCCCACTTCATGATCGAAGGCGAGCTAGCCTAGAACCGCATCCTGCACTTCTCTCTAATCTTCGAACAAAGAACCATGTACTTGCTAAAGCCCGTAACCTCCAAACATTAGTCCCCTAAATGCTTCGTTATATCTTACTTCGCTTTCCTAGATCTTGCGAACTACTTCTTCTTCCGTTTCAGAAGACCAAAGCAAAGCCTCTCTTAATAGCTCTATAGGTGCAACCATAAAGCTGTCTATATATTTATCGCGATACTCTATTTTGTTCCACTTATCTGTTAAGACGTTACTATCTAACTAGTTTAAAAGCAACGCTGCGCGACTATAGTGCCCGTGTAAGTCTACTACTTGTACTATAGTACCTTGTTTTAGCTAAGAGCTAAAACCTAGTCTTATAAAAGTACTTATAGTTATATACTTTTACTACTACTTTTTTTTTCTTTTCTCTTCTTATACTAAGTTAAAAAGTTTTTAAATTTTACTTAGTATATAAGCTAAGTTAAGATATTTTTTTTTATATTTACTAAACTTACTAGTACTTAATAAGTCTACTAGCTTTACTAGTTAAGTTTAAAAAAAGTTAATTAAGTCTTAATTATTAAAAGCTAAAGTATTAGTTAGTTTAGTATAGCGCTTTAAGTAGTATATAAGTACTATTTAAAATACTATAGTATACTTTAGTAATAAAATATATAAGCTAAGCTTTTAGCTTTAGCTTTAGCTTAAAAAAATTATTATTATAAGTATTTTTAGTAAATATAGTACTTATTTTTTTTTTTATAGTTAATAAGTAATTAATTATAGTACTACTAGCTACTTTATAGTTAAAAAGTAAAATAGTAAAGTTATTAAAAATAGTTATAGCTAAGTATATAATAAATAAAAAAAAGATTAGTTTAGTATATTACTTTTATACTTACTACTACTTATATAACTATAATATAGCTAGAAAAGTACTATAGTTTATAAAAATATACTTAAAGTACTATTAACTAAACTATAGTTTTACTTTATAAAAAAAAAATAGTTTATATACTTAAATATTAAGGTTAGAATAGGCTAGAATAGACGCAGTAGTAGTAGTACTATAGTATGTTTGTCTAGTAGTATAACAAATCTTAGGGTTGCAGTCGATCGGGCCCAATGCATTCTCTTCATGGCGAATTAGTATAATTCAGCCGGTTCATAGAATTTGAGACCTGTCTGCACTTTGACGACTGCCGCATTCCAGTGTTCCAGAAGAGAGCCAGTTTGTTTGTGAAGTGTTTCGAGAAGCTGGACAAGACGAATGCCTTCGATGTCGTGGATGCGCTCGAGAAGTCTCAGGGTGGGTTCCTCTTGTGCCTGTACCGCGTAAACACCGATAGTCTGACAAGGTGGTTGTGTGGCAAATGTTGAGCCCAGGCATCGGCGAAGACCTAAGACGTCTACATCTGGGCCTAGTAGCAGGTTTGCTGTGGGTGCATTCGTTCTAAGGGAGACCTCATACCTGCCTCGCTGCATCTGGAACCGCTCTCCGAAGATATCGGCGACGCAGGGTGCGAGTTGGAATTGGGTGAAGTCCAGCCATTGCGGTACCGGTAAGCTGGTATTATCGTACTGTATGCCATACGGAGATGGCATTGCCGGGGCCCAGAAACGCGCATATTGGGTATGAAGAAGATCTATAGTCTTCACCGTCAATGCTATAGCCTGGGACAGGCGGGCAGGTGCATATAGTAGTCCGAAGCCTGGACCATCAAGCCCGCAGACCTTTTCTGCGCAGTTCTCGAGTTCTTCGAAGCTGGGCTGTAACCACGCTGGGGTCTTTCCAGAAATCTGAGCGTCGCCATATTCTACAGGATCGTACAGGCGGCGGTTGTGGTTGTCAGATTGGAAAATGTGTTCGATAGTGCCGTGCCACGAGCTTGACACCCTCCAAGCACCCAATCGACTGTAGACGTCCAACCGACAGAGAATGTTCTCACGCAGTTCAGCAATCCCAAAGGTGCGTTTCGCTGCAGGTTGCGCGACTGCTGCACTGATTTGCGCGGTAGGCGAAGATGATTCTGCCTGAGCCGCAGTCGAATCATTTGCAACGTAAGAAAATTCCGCCTTTCGTCGATTAGTGAAGGCGATTATCTTGTCCTTCCATGACTGTATCTTCCGCATCTTGTGGGGTTGCCATCTTTTGTTGCCTTGCAGGCGCAGATTTTCATATGTACGACTCCATCGAACAAAGTGGGCTCGCTCCTCAGGCGTGATGTTTGAGATGTCGTCTTCGGTAATCCATTCGAGGATGAGCTCTTCATCCGATCGTGTGCCCTATGGAAGTTCGAGAGCTGCGTCTCTCATCATCTTGGTGTGGTGGTGATGATGATGATGATGATGATGATGGTGGCTATGGATTATTGTACGGGCGTTGCAGATATCTCTTCAGCGGTGCTGATGTATAATGTTGCAGCCTGGAGTGGGGTAATAAAGCAAGATCATCGTTTGCGCGACGCATGCCTGGGTACCACTAATATATGGACCGCATTTGGTAAATAGAGTGTGCGCCTTTGACTCAGACTGCTGTCTGGTACTGGTTCGGGCTGGTCATTGAGATTTTGCTTTGGTATACGGTATGATTGCGACCGCATTTGGTAAATGGCGATACAGCGACAATTGACCCATGGCTACGGCGTTCCGAATAGTCTTAGTTGGCTGTATGTGGATTTAGATTGGAGCGCGGTCTCGGCGTCGGCGGGTGGAAGAGAGGTGCAGAAGGCGCTTGGACGATGCGATGACATAATCTCGCGTAACCCGCACTAGATCTAATCTAGATTTGCACGTGTTTCGCTGGTCTCGCAGCAGCCGAGACTACGGCGAGTGGTGTGATACTTGGCATTGAAGTGCATCGATTCTCCAAACATTACTCACTAAGCACATAGACTTCAGCGAGCCCACCTTTTCCGTCTGGTTGAGGTGACGCAGCAGTAGTAGCAATTTCTATAGCAAGAAAAACAACGAATTAATGGCATGACGAGCTATATGCTCCACAAAGAATCATCAGCAGAAGTATCGGGTATCCACTCCGCCCAACACTCACTGCTGGTGTCGACATATTGCTCTGCGATATCCAAAGTCTTCCATTCGTTTCCCAACATCCTCATACCCATCAGCAACGGCCGTTGGCTCACATGCTTGGAGAGATTGGGATTTTCATCCATGTCGTGATGATCGAGCGTGAGTATAAAGTGCGGACGGGCACCGGCTGTGAATGCACGCCGTCTTGGATATGATAGCTGCAGTACGCTAGGAGGCAGGGTGGCCAAGTTCTCTCGCATACGCTCGACTTGTTCCCTCCAATCCAATAGTACGGTCGCCGCATGTGCGTTTAGTATACTTGTTAGATGGGATAGACGTATTCCGTCCTTGTTGTAAATGCGGGCCACTAGCTTATTAATGTGTGCAGTCCCCTCCAGCCACTGATCACTCGGAGTGTAAATGCCGATGCAACTACACGGTGGGTCGGTGACAAAGTGCGATCCTATATGGGAGTACAAGGGTCCAAGCGGGAGGTTGAGCGGGTGAAGGAGGCCTCCAGTGGGAGCATTGGTGTTTAAGTAAATGTGACAGCGACCACGATATGTCTCGAATCCGCCGGTGTATAGGCGCTCCAGACACGGATGCAACCTGAACTGCGTGAAGTCCAGCCACTGCGGCTGCGGTTTGAAGTCGTCGTCCCGGGTAGGGTTAATGTCCCAAGCCACGCGATATGCGTAGCGCACGCGTTCTGCGACGGATGGCTTGAGCATATGCGATTGAGTAAGCCGAGCGGGTGCGTACGTCCAAATGTTCCATCCATTTGTATCCAGGAGAATCAAACACATTGCGTGGACCTTTTCCTCGAAAGCAAGTAGCTCTTCGGGGGTTACATGAAGGTTGTCATTGTTAGTCGAACACACATCGGAGTATTCGACCGGGTTCTGATGTGGTGTATCTTCGAAGGGGTCCTGGAGAATGCGCTTCACAGTCGCTCGCCATAGCGTACAGACTTGGCCGGCGTGCAGTTGGGTCTGAAGGTCCGCGCTGTATAAGATCTGCTCGACCAGTTCCGCTATGTTCAAAACGCGGTGAGCAGCGGATGCAGTCGACGATGGATTCCGACCATGTTCATTACTCGGATCTGAAGTTGAAGGCGACGGCCCTGAAGCAACTGGGTATCTGGCAAGCTGTGCATCGACTAGAGCCACAAGGGAATCCTTCCAAGCATGCCACCTACGCACAGACGTGAGATTGATGTTTCTAGCTGCCGCGTCCAAAAAGAGGCTACGCCTTTCGCTCAAACTAGGGCCAGATGTCGCGCTGTACTCGGGGCTCTCAAAATAGGCTGCCGCGTCAAGCAATCGGGCTCGTAGTTCCAGAGGAATGGGCGATGGAGAAATTAGGGTAGAAATGGCCAATGGATTAAATGGGGTAGTGGTCAATGGAGCCTCGATGCCAAACCATTTGAGCAAAAGATTGTTTTCCGTAGCAGCATCGCTTGCCTGTGGGGGCAGGGTGGTGTCTGCCATTCTAAGTGTGAGCTAGAGGGTGATGTCAGGTTGTCGGTGGGTCGCGCGGCGCTACCTCGGCCCCACGCTGACTAATCCACTAGCCGGAGCTCGAACAAAACTCTCCGCGCCGCCGCCACCCTCTCTTCTTTTCCATATAGAAAGTTGCACCCACGAAATTTGACCTCACTCTTTGTTCCTCTACAAGATTGAAGTTGACATAAGCTGGGGAGAACGAACATCTTTGCCCCCAAGAACTGCCTGCCCCTACCGAATGGGCTGTCGGTCCCGTGGCTCCGAGACATTCCCATAAGAAATTTTCATCATTGCGACGTCTCCCTTCGCCTCGAACGATACCGACACGTATACGCACGAGTGACACGATGGATGCTTAAGCGCGACCAAGGCGGTAGACGTGATCGCTTTGGAAGCGCTGTACAATAAGATGGCCCGTAAGACCAAGGCGATTGACCACATGGTCAATCGCATGAGCAAAGTGCGGCTGGTGGATGAGCGCGCTGCCCCGCCGCCCGATGTTCAAGACGATGCGCAGGAAGATGACAAGAAAGCTGTGAAGCGCCAGCCCTTCCGCTTCTTCGATCTGCCATCCGAGCTGCGACTGCGCATCTACGAAGAGCTTCTGGTCTTCCCTAAGACCATCGACCTCGACCCTACGAATTACCGCACCGTCGCCCCCGCCCTCCGCCTCTTCCTCGTCGACCATCGCATGCACGACGAAGCGTCGCGCGTCTTCTACGGTCGCAACACCTTCCGCGTGTTCCCCATCCACGGCCGCTACATAAACCGCAAACACCCGCTTCTTGCATGGTTCCCTCGCAAATACCGCGCGCTCCTTACGCGCCTAGAGCTGCGACTGGGGCCGGGCTTCACGAAACCGCCGAAATGCTGGGTCGTGGATAGCCGGCTCGGTCTGGCGGCGGTGAAGAAGGTGTACAAACTGAAAATCTTTGTAGAGATCGACCCGGCGTCGAACGAGGTCTTTGAGGGCTGGCGCGTGGGAAACAACTTCTATACCGAGTACTGCGTCGGGCTGCTGAGAGGCTTGCTCGCGCAGGTGCCGTCGATTGATGACGTCGAGTTTGACGCATATCCAAGCGTGTCCAAGGACAGCCCGCTGCTGAAGGGCCTGGTAGAAGAGACCAAGCTCAATCAGAAGCGCGTTGCCTGGGGCCCTGAGAGGGGCTGGGACAAGATTGTGGAGGTTGACTTGGCCAGCGTGTTGCAGAAGATGGGGCTTGGAGCTCAATGAAATGAGTCTGTCCCGTAGCATTCGCGATGTCATGCTATGCGCTGCACACTTCGCGTCACTTATGTATATTCATGTATCATTCTTTGGTTCTTGATACTCATACCCAAGGTTACTTGTCCAGTTTGCTCTTTCCCTTTCTAGTCGCTGTAACAATGTTCGGGAATGGGGTGTGGCGTTCAGCCGTGCCTGCCCAAATGGGTGTGAGAAGTCGGCCCCGCTCTCAGCCTGCGTACAACACCTGTTCTGGCCCCGTAACCTCGTCGTTCCCCACAAAATCACTATGCTGATCACACACAACAGCCTTGCCTCTGTCGGAGCACGATGCAGGAAGGACCTGGCAAAGATCAAGTTGCAGACTACGGACCAGCGTCACACGCCGCGCACACCCCTCACACCACCATGTCTGCGCCCGCCCACGCCGTAACGGACGACACTTACGTATACGCACTCTCCGACCAGAGTGATCCCGATCAGTCCTCGCAGAAGCCGCCTCCTTCTTGACACCAATAATACGGCGCGACTTGATAAGGAAACCGACACGGGTGTTCGGTCCTCGCATTCGCTTGGCATACCAACGCATCCTCTTCACGTACAAAGAGAATGTTTGTAATATGAACGTCACATTCAACTCTCATCACGTAGACTCTCCTGACTTCACTGCGCGCACGGATGTTGTCGTCAGCTGCGGTCGCTTGCCGTATATATTGGCGTGCGTCCTAGACTTCGAACCTCCTCCATTATATCCCCTGCTTCTTCTGTCAAAGCCATTACTCCTTCATAACCCCAACAACTACCAGAAGTGTACGTAGTCAAAGACATGAGCGCGACAAACGGCGATTCCGCTTCCGCGATACCTGGCCAAACCATGTCGATGCAGTCACACCCCATCAACCCAGAGGCACCGTCTCTCTTGACAACAATACCAGGCGAAGTCCGCAATGCTATCTTCGAGGCTCTATTCGAGTTAGGCCATCCCATTACAATCTCCCGCGATCGGTATGCGTACGGCGACTCCTCATGTTACCAGTCGGGAGACGTACGTGGCATCGCGCTACTTCGAACATGCCGTCAAATCCACGAGGAAGTTATTGGTATTCTCTACAGTCGGAATATCTTCTGTGTAAGTCTGGCGGACGACCCCTACATTACTGATCCAATTCCATGGGCAATGGCCTGGCTCGACGATATTGGGATACAGTCTTCCTCTGTTCGACATCTTCAAACTCACATCTACAACGTATTCCACGGTCGAGATGATGTCATCAATATATCACCTATACTACATCAAGTATGGGAGCCTGATCATGCGGCTTTGAAGGTTGAACTTCTCCCTAGATGGTATCCGGAATGGGACCCACCAGGTGACGATCTTAACAGAACAGCCGAGATAAACGCTGTCTCATGTAACAGGCAGATGGCTACAATCATTGATGATCCGTCAGGAATGATCAAAAGGTTCTGTTCCGTGCCTTCATTACTGCGAGAAGTTTGCCTGAACTTCCTGGACCACCATGCTCACCTTCATTACTATGAATCAACTTACAGCGGCGACCGCCCGCTAGCTATGGACATTATTGATATAGTCGACAACGGTGCAGAGAGTAGATTTTCGAAAAGAACACCGATTACGGACATCAAACGCATCATGTCGTCCTACGAAATTCGAAACTCTATCTTGACCATGGCGTTGTGTCCAGACGAGGAAATTATCTTTGACCTCACAAACCGGACAACAAACGTGGATGTGGCCCACATCGCATCGGTCACTACTTGCTTGACTGGTACACACGAGGTCGGTTTCCGGGAAAGAGCGTTTAGTGTCACATTGACAAGTACGAGTACCCTGGCAGCTTTCACCGCTGAACTAAAGATACTCCGCGGACTGCCTCTCGGAAACCCTATGAACATAATCATTCGCTACTATCTGGACAACACTGCCTCCTTGGACGAGGTACGGCTCGATGCTCTCGCGCTTTTGCATGCGACGGGGTGTCGCTACCTATCAAAGCCCGTGTGCATCGAAGTCTACCGCAAATCTGGCACTGCCCCAATCAACAGCTACACTATATCTCTTGAGGATATACGACAGAGCATCCTTCTCTTCATGTACCAGATCTTCAAGAAAAGTCCAGAGCACATGCTAGCGCAACTACCAAGGATCTGGATGAGTGGCAGGGGCGAGGCGCGGGAAGCCGAGTGGGACTTGAGCAAGTGTTCTATTGAGCCGATCGTAAATGAGAACGTTGGCATCAGCTCGACAATCATTCAATCACGCTACGAAGAGATTAAAGGGGTGTTCGAAAGCATGCTCGATCCAGGCAATTTTCCGCCTGACTCTATGGGTGATTCCGCAATACGGTTGTGGTACTAGGTAGGCGATGGAATTTGCTGCATACAGCCTATCAAATATGAACAAGTCGAGAGTGACTAGGATAATTTATACTTCAAACTAGAAATTGACATGTAGTATACCTAATGCGACATGCATCCGATCGTCTCTTGATGCTAGGTGCTTTGATGAAGACAATAGCGTCATCGCGCCTCATGAAACTAGTACAACTGGAACACTGAGAGGCACTATATACCTTTAGTGTAACCTTTGCTATATTCAATACGTGTTTGGTCTCTCCTCCGAACTGGCTAACCTTGTCATTTGTCACATACACCAATACGTGCATCGAGCATTCGTACAGTGCAATCTAATCCAACTTCGCAAACCTTTCTTCGCTTAGATACAGGGCGTATCATAAGAAGTTCTACGGTCATCGCTATCCATGACGTAGCTCTTTCCATTTGGTGCAGCAAACGGCCGCAGTCTTGGCAGTCGCGCTCTCTCACCTCAGAATCCTCGACTCTACAAGCTTTTCCCACTACCAGCGACTACCCTTCTTTCTTCTCTCACACACCCATTCTAGATACTGATCGCCAGCGCTACGGCGACTGAGACCACCCTCGCAGCGTGACAGCGAGCGACATGAGTGCGACACCCGGTACCGCAGCCGGTGGCGCGACTCCCGCTACCGTCAGTGACGCAGAGTCGAGCGACATGGCTGTCACCAAGATCGCGAACACGCAAAAAGACACGAAAGCAGCGACTGCAACGGACATCCTTCCGCCGCCAGTCTCACACCCGACCGATCCAAACGTGCCGTCCTTAGTGACTCTACCTGGTGAGGTTCGCAACGCGATCTACGAGGCACTCTTCATTCGCGAAGATCCTATTCAGATTCATGCAAACAGTTTCGATCCTCTCGGTTACCACTCCGGCAGTGTCGTCCTCGGAACTGCACTCCTCCAGTCATGTCGCCAGATCCAATATGAGGCCACTGGTATCTTTTATGCACGAAACGTGTTTCAACTAGTGCTTCCTCTAAGTACGGACGACGAAGACGGCCTTGTTTGGGCTATGGACTGGCTTCGCATCATCGGCAAACAGTCGTCCTTTCTTTGCGTGATTCAGCTCGATATCCACAACTTGCTTGAAGCAGACGGAGACTTGGAGATCCTACCAATACTGGCGTACACTTGGAAGCTGGAACACAAGGACATGGCTGTTTCCTTTGTGACATCACCCGAGAGGTTGATTGTGGGCTTTCAAGGCAATCGGCCATGGTCTGCCAACCATACGGCTAAGATTAACAAAGGGTTGAGTACGCTCATCGCTGATCCCTCAAACCTTCTTAGGAAGTACTGCATTGCGAGCATGCTGTTGAGGGTCAAACTCGACACAGATGGATCGGAAGTTCTCATTTCATACCGCCATAATCACCGTGGTGGTGGTGATTGGATGACGCAAGGCCGCATATCAATCAGCGATGAAGGTCAGGCGCGTATGATTTCGCGCAACAGGAACCCAGGGTTTTGTGATCTCATGACGATACATGGGGTGAGAAAGAAGCTTTTCGATTCGATCCAACCCCCAGGACTGGAATCAGTCTTCGACTTGACGAACCAGACCACGAATCTCAACCTTAAAAGCCTAGCTGGCGCGAACCGGTTGTTACGTCGCGAAATCATGCTGGAAGTCGGCGACTATGACTCAATCTTCAACTCAACAACTTCGACGCGGAAATACAACTTTGCTACCGAGCTGGAGAGGTTCGAAGCCATCCAACTACACGGCCACCCACGCTACTTTCATCTGTACTTCGACCTATCGGAACAATTTACCCTCGAGGATATTCGATTCGATGCACTGCCATTTATATCTTCGCTGAGTTGGTTAAACCACGACGTCCACTTGAAGATCGAGGTCCGCCATCCGATCGATTCCGAGACACCAAACCGGACGGTCACGTTGCTCTTGAGAGAACTACAGGTTAGCGTTTTCTGCTTCCTATACAACCTCCTGGAGACCTATCCCAAGAACATCTACCTTCCGCGCCCTAATGTCTGGACGAATGGGCTTGGTAAAGTGAAAGAAGTGACATGGCAAGATGAGCTGGGGTTGGAACCTCTGGATACTTCATACCTGGACAACAGTCATGGTGTGATGCAGCGGATCAGTAGCGGAGTTGCGAATGACTGGGCTTCGATAGAGATAAGTCGTATCCTTCCTGGTATTCAAGACACACTGCTCGAGTTCCTCGGGGAGAAACATGGGTGGTGATTGAGGTACGATCTGACCATATCATCAGGATAACTCGCTAATACATTCTAGCTTTTTTGAATACGGATTCGAGCTCTCAACTGCGTTTTTGAAGCTCTCGTGTCAAGAGGTTTCTTTCCTTCGCATCAAAGAGACGGATTGGGAAACGGTGGAAGTCTAGTGGTGGCTTTCGTCCGCTGGAACTCTCTTCTCCACTCGGCAGTCTATCACATGGTTTTATCGTGCTTGTTTTGAGTTTCCACATTCCCGAAAAACTGATCCTTCGATGGCGGAACAGAAGTTGCTGCACACAAAAGCATCTGAGTTCATTAGCTCTTCGTGGGCAAATTGCGAGCATCATGGGATGCATGGATGTTTACAGGTCGATAGCACAAGCTATGTAGCAACCCATTCACACAAAAGCAAGATCCTTGGTCCGCGAAACGTGTGAATATGACTGATCCAAGCCAAGGGGATTGTCGACTGCGTTCGCAGGCGTAAAGTGCCATCTGTGAGTGACATGACCGACTTCTGCATGTCTCCGACGAGGCGGTTATCGTCATCAGTCTGCACGACGAAGCAGTCACTATCAGACCTTAGGTATGGAGGCGAATTGCACGCACAGGTGACACATAGGGACAAAGATCGCGATTCTGCCGTCCCTGGAGAGTAGGCAAGTAGCATTGTCAATGACGACGCGCGCTGCGACGTAGGATATTCATGTGGTGCTGCGCGCGGAGAGGGGATGCTCGCGACAACCAATCACAGCACAGCAGACAAAGGATGACGCGTTACGTCATCGTGTCACTGATCGAAGTCGCGCCTTTTGCCTTTCGCGACGACACCAACAACACAACAGCTCAGCGCTCACTCGTAGCATCGCGCGATGGCATTATATCTTCCACAGCGGCCTTAAGCCCTAGTTTGTGTCACACTTTGTAGAGATAAAATTTTGTTCTGTCTAATTACTAATAATGCTACTAAACCTAATAATTTTAATAAGTTAGCTAGCCTAATAATACTAAATCTATAATATATAGCCTATTTATTTATAATAATAAAGCTATAATTACTATTTTTAATAGCTATTTATAATACTATACTAAACTTATATAACTATTCTTCTAACTTCTATAGTAGCATTAAACTATATAATAACTACTACTAGTATCTTTATCTATATATTAAATACTATATATAAGATATAAAATTTTCTTTATTTATAAAATACTTTTCTTACTTTAAACGTAAGCTTAGTAGTTATTATATATAAAATTTACTTTTATATTTCTTTTTTACTATATATCTTATAAAGTAGTAATTTAGTTTTTTACTATCTTAGTATCTTTACTACTTAGTATAGCTACTTTTAAGTATTTTTTTAAAGTAGTAGCGTTAATAGTAATAGTATTAAAATACTTAGCGTATACTTATATCTTACTCTCTTTAAGTTCTAAATATATCTCTTTAAAGTTAATAAAAGTCTCTTTATTATAAAATTACTAAACTTAAGTAGAGCTTAAGTTTATATAAAAGTTAGAAACTTAATTTAAAAAAGTAAGTAAGTTATTAAAGATAAAGTTAATAATACTATAAAAGCTTACTAAGCTAATAAAGGTAAGTTTTAATAGAAAAAACGTACTAAAGTATAAAACTTAAAGATAAAAGTTCTTAAGATTATATAAAATAAGAATATTAGTATTATTAAAAGTATTTATTATATAGTAATAGCTTTAAAAGTAGAAGTTTATTTAGAAAAGTTCTAATATAGTATAAGTAGTAGTAGATATATAAAAAAATATACTAACTTATATATAAGAATATATAGTATTTCTACTTTATAACTTACTTTATAACTTATTTTAATAGTTCTTTAACTAATAAGCTATAGTTATATTACTATTTTATTTAAATTTTAAGAGAAATAATAAAGTAATTATATTACTTATATAGTAATTTTTTTAAAATAAGCTACTTACTAAAGTATTAGTAGCTAAGCTAAGAAAGCTTAGCATGCTCTTACGTATACTTTAGATAAAGTATATATTAAACTTTAATTATAACTTATTTTAAGATACCTAGTAGAGGGCTATTACCTATTTAAGACTTAATTTTTTTTTAAATCTAAGATACCCTAATAACGCTGTTAGTACTAAAAACATATCTTCTACACTTTAAAGGCGAAAGCACAACTGTTGTATCTTTATTGCCCTCTTATAACCAGTTCTTCGCGCTAACGACGTCGATGCAGGCATCCGAGCTTCTACCCGCATGCTGAAGTCGCGTCTCCGGAAAGCATCTCGCTGGCTATCGCCGCACACACGAAAACGAACCCTTCCGCCATATCTCGTCTACTCAGCTGCCGCCCTCACGAACAAACGCTCGATATCGGGAAGCATGTCCATTGGATTCTCGCTCGCATCCAACGCCTGGTCCTCGACAAACTCGCCATCCCTATCAACGTATGGCTGGGGGTCAAGTTCCCAATTCCGGTTCTTGCAGAATCTAGCCAGATGAACGTTGCAGAAAACAATCGACTTCAGTTCTCTGATGAGGAAGCGCTGACTGCTGTCACAGGAGGCGTCCTCATTCGGATCCTTGAACATGCGTACGATTGCAACCTGGAGAAATGGCTTTGCCGCTACGATATCGTCCACTGCACTGACAAGTTGTCGGTCGCAACACCTCATATGGCGCTGCAGACCCCGCGCCTCGAGGCGGAACCGGATATAATGGGGCAGGACGAATGTGATCTTGTTGAGTCTGTAAGCGCCCGCCAGCATCCAAGCCAGACTACGCCACGAGTCTTCGAAGTCTAGTCGCGGGAAGCGCTTACGGAGTTTCCCTTTGGTCCACGGATATGGGAAAGGCATGAGGTCGTATACCTCGTGTGTGCGAAGCCAGGTGTGTGGGTTCCAGTGTGAGGCCATGCAACCGCGGTCTCCCGAGCGGCAAGGGATAGCCATGGTCATGGATTTCATGAATCCCAGATTCCTCGACCCAATCTTCGTCGCGAACGCATACGCTACCATGTGGCCGTTGAGACCCGAAAAGCGGAACTCATTGTTGCCGTAGAAGACCTCGGTGGCTTCAGCGCATACTTGCTTGCATGTACGTAGCAAGCCGAGGTTGCGTGCGCCGCGTCTGCCGAACATTTTTCGAAGTCTAGACCCGTTGCGTACTCTTCGGTAATACTCGGTATCCATGTTTCCGGTCTCTGGCCACAGCTCGATCAGCTCGTCGAATTCAAGGGCATGCCCGTAGATCATCAGACGGATCTCGAGAGGTATGTCGAGGAAGCCAACAGTTTGAGGCTTGTTCTACAGACTTGTGAGTATACCATTATGTGTCCAGATCCATAGGGTACTTACCACAGGCTTCTGGAACATACGTTCACCGTAGATGTGAGGATATCCATTGTATGGACGGAGGTCGTCATACGAGTGAACGAGAAACGCACCCCTAGCGGTCAGCGTCTTCATCTTCTCAGCGTGCGCTGCTTGCGCCTCTTGTTCTCGCTTCACTTTCGCTTCCTCCTTCTTTCTCATCTTCTCAGCGCGCGCTACTTGCGCCTTCTGCTGGCGCTTCACTCGAGCTTCTTCTTTCTTGATCTTCTTCTCTCGCACCGCCTCCGCCTGCTCAGGAGTCTTGTGCATGGTCTCGGCTTTCAGTTGCGGCTCACCCGAACCTGCTTGGGCAACTTTCCGGGCTTTTCGCGCTCGCCTTCTAGCTGATGCACTCTTCTTCTTGCGCTCGACACCCTCGGGTAACACGTTATCTGGAGAAGTAGACATGTCTTGGATGCTTTGCTAACGTGTAGAAGTTTTCGGGTTGGTTGACTGGTTCGTTGAGATTTTGATCAGGCTCGGAAGCGTACGGGCATATATAGGGGTGCAGTACACTCACGCCAAGTCTGTGCATCACGCATTAGGCTCCTACTCGAAACATCTAATCATTTGGGTCAAATTACGCTCGCCATTGGAGGCCAGAGAACCTTCGGCTATTTCACTCAGAGCTCAAAGTAAGGGTAATCCGCCCCCCTACCGAACATGTTGATTGCTAGGACCAAGCCCATCGATGCCTAAATACCTGGGTACTCCAATGACGCCCATGTATATTCAGCAAGCCCAGACCAGTAGTTTTGCTGGGAAAAGATATTTCCGGATGTTCATTCGGTGGTACCTTGGACCTGTACCAGACTATCGTCGCTTACCAAAAGCGCTTCGGCTACTATCCCAACATCCGCAGCGTGCACCTTGTCATCACGGCACAAAAGCAAAGGGGTGGAACCGTATGAACGATGCATTTTGTATTGCAAGAACTATCCAGACATCCTCAGTTACCTCCTGACTCTCCGCCTTGACCCCCATTTGTAGTGCAGTTAACCTGACTCTCAATTCCGTCAATGTTCAAGCAAGTGTACTGGTTCGTTCCACTCGGGCTCGTAACATTGACATTTTCAATGTTGATGTTTGAGCAGACCGCCGGGCTGGAGCAGACCAAATACCCAACAAGCGGGTCGTACTTCTTGCTGGTCGTGCCGTAGAAGTTCTTGACTGTGATGTCGGAGATGGTGAGGTTGGAGGGGAACTATTATCACGTTAGCTTTCGAACAGGTCTTGGTTGGTGGGAAGTAAGAGCGTACCTGGTTGCAAAGAGTCAAGTTCTTCTGGCCGTAGCATTGAGTAATCTCAATCGCGTAGTCAACGTTCGAAATGATCATGCCGTCGTACGTAATGTTCTTGACGGCACCACCGCCACCTCCACCTTGCAGATCCCCAGAGAGAGCGGAAGAAGCACCAGGCCAGACCTTGATACGCGCACCGTCCGAAGCATTGGACATGCTGATGTTGTACACGTAGATGTTCTCGACGATGTCGACTTCGCCGGGGTACTGGCCCAAAGAACCAACACTAATACCGTGACTACCGTTGCAGATGAGGTTCTGAACAACGATGTTGGTGCTGTTAGGCTTGAACGACACGCAATCGTCGCCGTTGTCGATATGCGAGTTCTGGATCACGATGTTGTCGGAACGGTACGTGTCCCAGCCATCCGTGTTCTTAGCAGGGTTCTTGCTCTTGCTGCCGCCGAAGATGTCGATGTTGTCGAACACCACATCGGTGGAGTTGGCGACGAAGGTGTACCACTGCGGACTGTATCTGAACTTCAAGTCCGAGATGGTAGCACCTTCCGCGCCGATGACACCGAAAAGGATGGGGCGGAGGATGTAGATGTCCTCGGCGTAGAGATCGTACCAGGCCTGGCCGTTTCCGTCTAGGGTGCCGCCACCGTAGACGTTGACGTCCTTGCCGCCGAGCTGGAAGAAAGTGGTGGCGTTTTGGTAGATTTGCTTGAAGGAGTTGGCTTGCCAGTAATCTGTGTCGTTTGTGAATTGTATGGATCCTTGGATGTCTTTGCGATAGTTAGTAATGGAAGATAATAGCTTTTTGAAGGTGACATACCCAGATCGATGCTGTTTAGGAATGTGAGGTCCAGCGCGGTTCCGATGGTAAACTTCTGGTCCTTCGGGAAAACGACATGACCGCCATTGTTGCACTGCTTGATTGCCTTCAAAATGTTTGCGGAGTCGTCCTTACCACCACCGAGAGCCTTGACGTTGCAGGTCTTGGTTCGTGGCGGCGATGCCGGACATGCCTTCTTGGGGTGATAAGGATACGCCGGGTGATGAGGCCTCTTCGACGCGACGACCTTGACGCTTCGCTCGTCGAGAGGCGTCGAGAGTACTGCTGATGCTTGCAGCAAAGCGCACGTGAAAAGTTCGGTGACGCGCATTCTGGCAGACGTTTATGCCGATGATATTAATTGACAAGCTGGGGTTCAACGTCTGTAGCCCAAAAACCATCGCGACCCCGACCACCTAATATACCCCCATCGCATCATCCCCAGCCGTCCGAGCCGCGGCCTTGGCCCTGGAACCTCCTCAAGATACCCGCTCCCGTAAAATTGGATGGCGCGGAGGAACTCTACGATCATCCCCTTCATCCACCTCATCCTGGGGTCCCCTCACGGCCACAAGTGGCTAAACGGGTCATGACTGTGGCGCTAAGCCAAGATCAGCGAAGCTTTCCCCACACGCCTGGGCGCTTGGCCAGCGCCATTGGTGGAGTTTCTGCGACCCCAGATTTCCGGTGCGTGCTCGCCCCACGACAAATCGCAAAAAGACGGTCTACGGCTTCTACGCGTCAACGGCTGCGTTTCTGGGGTGAGCTGTTGAGTTAACGTGGCGGGTGAAGATTTTGCCGCGGAACGGCCGGCGTGGTTAAGCAAGTGGTGGCTGCTTGGAAGGGCTGGGCTGAGTTGTGATGCTTTCATCATGGAGATGGGCTTACCGCGATTACTTATCCGGGCGGGCTCCGGTAATTTCGTGCTCGATGTTTACCAACTCATCATAGTCCTGGAGGTTGCGAAGTGTATCCACGACGGACATTGCCTTCGGTCAGCGCGAGAGCACACTCGTGAAATACCCAGAGCCAAGCCCACTGTCTTCGTTCCGTCCCGAAAGCTTACCTAGGTAGCAGCGGGATTTCTCTGCCAATACAACGACATGCGACAAGCCACGAAGAAGAGCGATATTGAGGAACACGACCGTCAAAGGGTAAAGTCAATACGTTCTATCTTCAATCGATCCCGGTAGACGTTCTGGACACGTCGTGTTGAGATATCGCCATCATTCGTCTTACTCCGAAGTGTAAGTTGGACGAGAATACCATGTGAACTCCGAGAACAGGGCCGATACTAGAAGTCATGGCTTGCATACCAGTACCGCGGAAGTGAAATCTGCATCCGCTGAACCAGGGTCTGCGTCATTCGCTTGAGCCTGTCAAGACGTCTGTAGAATTGACGAGACGACAGCTCGTCTCTTGAACCATCGACTACATGTAAGGAAGAACGCGGGAAGAGAGAGTAGTCAGTGTGTAATCACGTTGATGACAAGGAATGAAAAGCCAGTAGAAGAAAGCATTGCTATGCTACGACGAGAGATAAGCTCCCAGTGGCGGTAGGCCGCCATCGCTATGCGAACGACTGAGGTGATGCATCGAAAATACATCGTAACGCTACCCAAAGTCATGCTATGCAACCCGCAACTCCCAGCCCCGGCCAAAAGCAGAATACAATCATACAATACAGAGGAAAGGAACGTTGACCAACATTCATTCCATCCCCAAAGCAACACTTTGCCTCATCCTCTCAACCAGTGTAAGTGCGATAACCCATCCCACCCGCGTCCTCAAACACACACCCGGCCATTCCCATTCCCATTCCAACATCCTCACGCCAACCCCCCTGATCCACCGGCGTCCTCGGCTCATCCGCACTCGGACTAGGACTATTAGAAAACAAACCCCCCTCTGGACTCTGCTCAAGCACATACGCCGTATCTCCAATAGGCAAACCGTGTGACAGAGGTTGCGATAAGGAGTGTGCGGACATGGTGCGCGATAGGTCGTGGTGGTGTTGCGACATGGGACTACCCGGGTAGGAGCGTGTGGGTGGGGAGAAGAGATCGAGATGGGCGTGGTGGTGTGGACCAAGGACGTTGGCGTTGGGATTATTGAGGGCGAAGTCGTCGGTTCGGGAAGAAGACGACGACGGATAGCCAAAGTCCACGTCGCTTCCGTAGTATGGGCTCGGGGGGTATGCGTCCGCTGGTAAGCTGCGATAATTCGGATCGAAAGCCGCAGGCACAGAGCGGGACATGTACTGATCGTTGCCATTACGGTATCCGTCGTGCATTCTTCCGCTTCGTTTCATCCTTGCTGAGCGACGTGCAGCTTGACCGCCCTTGGCGCCGGAGGCTTGTCGCTGGGGCTGCGGTTGCTGGGTCCGGTGGCCGCGCTTGTTGGGCTGCTTACTGCGGTAGCGGGTTGTGGATTTGACACCTTCGCGGATGGCTTCGTCGGTTAAGCGCCACATGAAGCCTTTGCGGGATTCTTCGCCTGGTTGGTCAACCTTTTCGAAGGCCTGGGCAGATTAGTATGTACTAGAGAAGAGAGGTAGAACGGTGAAGGAAGAGGAGACATGACTTACCCCGTTCATTGACAGATTGTGTCGGATGCTGTTCTGCCAGCCTTTTGTCTCCGAGGCGCTAGCCTTGTCGGTGTTGGCCTTAAACCACTCGTAGATATCGCGGAGTATCATAGTATTGTTGGGAGCGTTGAGGAGGGCTTGGTAGATCAGCTGCGCGTAGGGCTGCTCTTTGTCGATGACGCCGTCTCCAGAGAGGTCATGGGGATGTCGAGGGGGATCGTCATGAGGAGTGGATGCGCGGGTCAGGTCAGAGTACGGACTTTGGTAGCCATTGGAACCCTCGACCTTCATATGCGCCCCATACGGATGATGGTCAAAGTCGTTGCTGAGCTGCATGAGCTGGCCGCTGATCTCATGGTCTGACAAGTCCATCGCGTCAAGGTGGTTCGGCGGTTCGATGTGGTATGCGGTGGGTGGATGCGAGTCGGTCATACTGATATCGGCAGGAAGGCCAGAGAGATCGACCCCGGCGTAGGACCGGGGGCAGCTTGCGTTGGAATACTGAGTCGGGTACGCGATAGTGAAGTTGTCGTTGTAGGACATTCCGTTCTCGGCGTAGTTGTAGAAGTCCCCGGTACCAGCTGGAAACGGGCTAGACGCATTGTAACCCGCGCCATTCTGGGTCATGGAGTTGAGGAGGAAGTTGGTCGGTGCAGTCCACTGCATTGGCTCTTGATCGTCGAGGCTCATGGCAGAGTGCGGGGTATTGTCGTTGTTGGAAGGTGCAGGTCCCTGATCGGAAGGTGCGGTGAGCGGGACCTCAATAGGCAGGCTGGGGGAAAGAGACAACACCGGATTATGGGTGTGAAAGGGAAGCGGGGTACAAAAAGCGTCTTTGGAGGGCTGGAAGGGTTCACAAAAGGCGTCTTGAGATGACTGGACGTTGTCGAATTCAGCACCCACGTCTGCGGAGGAAGGCCGATGAGGTGATTGCGCATGTGGCATAGCTGTTGTGTTGTCGGCCTCCCACGGGTCTGGACGGTAGAGATAAGGAACGTA